AGTTTCTGGTAAAAAGAAGTTGCTTGGATATTACTGTCAAGTCATCTGACAGCTCACAGGAATTGATCAGAAAAATGTGCCTGCAAATTGACAGAACTTGACAGACCAGACAGGTCTTTCATGTGTGTATATTTTTATATTTCTCACACACACACACACACACACACACACACACCATTTATGTTGAGCTCAAAGTTTTTCAAAGAGGCTGCCAAACCTCACCTTTTGTTTATAAGAAAAATGGACCCTGGGCACAAACATATTCACCCTATTATGTGTGTCTGCTCCAGAAGGATGATAAACCATTTTACACCATTTGCTTCGAAAACATGTTTTTGTCAGGAGAGCTACCATTCTGGACTCTGTCATCATGTCTTCAGTTTCCTGGAGAGAGAGCATGGAGTTCAGCAAAGGTCAGATAGACACAGGTGTGAATTCCAGTTCTGCCTCTTATTTGCTTTATGACCTTCGCTTACTTAAGCCATCTGTGAAATGGCACATGACTCAAAATGTGCTCATGAAAATTCACCAGGATAAATGGAATGCAATTAACTCATCGCCTGGCACATAGTAGATGCTCAATAAATATTACTGCCTTTCCCTACTTAAGTTTTTCCAGAATGCTTTTACCTCTGTTTTCATGGAAAAGTCACTGATTGATGAATATCAATGAATATCACATGTAGTCCATAACCTTTTTTTAAAATTTTTTTAAGTTTTTATTTAAATTCCGGTTAGTTAATATACAGTGTGATATTAATTTCAGGTATACAATACAGTGATTCAGCAGTTTCATACATCACCCAGTGCTCATCCCAACAAGTGCGTTCCTTAATCCACATCACTTATTTCACCACTCCCCCACCCTCTTCCCCTCTGGTAACCATCAGTTTGTTCTCTGCAGTTAAGAGCCTGTTTCTTGGTTTCTCCTTTCTCTCTTTTTTCCCCCTTTGCTTATTTGTTTTGTTTCTTAAATTCCACATATGAATAAAGTCATAGGGTATTTGTCTTTCTCTGACTGACTTATTTTGCTTAGAATTATACTCTCTAGTTACATGCATGTTGTGCAAGTGGCAAAATTTCATTCCTTTTTATGGCTGAGTAATATTCCATTGTATATATATGCCACCTCTTCTTTATCCATTCATCAGTTATCAAAAGAAAGGCTTCTGCACAGCAGAGGAAACAATCAACAAAACTAAAAGACAACCTACAGAATGGAAGAAGATATTTGTAAATGACATATCTGATAAAGGGTTAGTATACAAAATATATGAAGAACTTATAAAACTCAACACTCAAAAAAATAAATAATCCAATTAAAAAATGGGCAGAAGACATGAATAGACATTATTCCAAAGGAGACATCCAGATGGCCAACAGACACATGAAAAGATGCTCAACATCACTCATCATCAGGAAAATGGAAATCAAAACTACAATGAGATATCATCTCATACTTGTCAGAATGGCTAAAATCAACAACACAAGAAACAACAGATGGTGGTGAGCATGTGGAGAAAAGGGAACCCTCATGCACGGTTGGTGGGAATGCAGACTGGTACAGCCACTCCGGAAAACAGTATGGAGTTTCCTCAAAAAGTTAAAAATAGAATTACCTCTATAATCCAGCAAATGCACTGTTAGGTATTTACTCAAAGAATACAAAAATACTAATTCAAAGGGATACATGCATCCCAGTGTTTATAGCAGCATTATTTACAATAGCCAAATTATGGAAACAGCCTAAATACCCATCAACTGATGAATGATTAAAGAAGATGTGGTCTATATATACAGTGGAATATTACTCAACCACAAAAAAGAATGAAATCTTGCCATATCATTACTTTTAGCCAGCTGATCTGTGGCACAGGAAATTTTTCACGTATTTCCTATCTCTCATACTGAAATGTTCACATATAAAAACAGGTGTAAATCCTACCTGTCCTCCTGTGTTCAGGGCTATTATGACAAGACTCAAAGGAAGAAAGATCACTGAACACTGGGATGGCTGTTTCCAAGGTGTTTGTTCTCATTGCTACCTTTGCTAACTGATGGCCATGCTTACTTTATTATGTATTAAGAACAAGATGGGGAGAGACGATGGACTCTGAAAAACAAACAGGGTTCTAGAGGGGAGAGGGGTGGGAGGATGGGTTAGCCTGGTGGTGGGTATTTAGGAGGGCACATTCTGCATGGAGCACTGGGTGTTGTGCACAAACAATGAATCATGGAACACTTCATCTAAAACTAATGTTGTAATGTAAGGGGATTAACATAAGAATAAAAAATTAAAAAAAAAAAAAAAGAACAAGATGGGTTACTGTGACACGTTTTCTAGATGGGGAATTGAAACTCACATATCAGTGGCTTCAGTGATTTAGCCAAGGTCAAACAGCTGGTAAATGTGACCGGAATGCAGATGTCAGATTCTTAGACTAGAGCATTTCCTGCTCTACCCTTCCCCACCGCCAACACACAGTGCTCCAGACTATCATTAGTCTGAGTCACTCAGAGCATGTTCTACCCCCAAAGAGTATGGTTGACTGAATTCACCTACTGAGCCTCTCAGCCTCAGTGTTCTCAGCAAAATCTCAATCAGTGATTTATTTGATCAGTGGTTCTTAAATGCTCTTTCACAATCAAGTATCAGTAAGTTCAATTTGTGGCCATGAGATAAAATACACACATACTTATCTGCAATGTAGTGAGTTTTCATAATAATTTTATTCAAAAAACTTCCTTTTAGGAATGTCTTTTTACTTTTTTAGTGTTAAAAATGTCCTTTCTTTCATAAAGTCATGGGGATAGTGGATGGTACTTGGGTTATTTTGTTTGTTGATGGATTTTTTCATACTTCTTTGGCAAAATGCAAAATTGAACTTTATAGCAGTCCTTTGTTTTTTTTTTAACATAACTGTCCCATGGATGCCACAAATCTGGAAACTGCCAGGACCCGTAGGCCAAATACTCTCTGGCTCTGTTCCAGCCATACACTAGGGGTCTTAGAAGACACAGCTGAAGGTCTGGAGCTTCCCTTGTTGATCAGACCCCCAACAGAAGGTCTCTTGCAAAATTAGCTGCAACAAAGCAGCCAGAAGACAGGAACCACAAGTTACTAAAAATAACCCTGGGACAGCTGTGCATGCCATCAGAGTTCTGAAGATTGCATCTGAGCCCATTTGGGAAGGTTGGCAAAGTCCTGGCCATCTGATCGAGGTTGGGAGTCTCTCGTGCCAGTTCTTCTCTTTTCCCTGTCTGATATTTGTGTTTTGTATTGGGAGAGTGATTTCATTCATTCGTTACCCAAACACAATGGCTGAATCCCCCGATCTGATGAGGAAACCAGCATGGTGCTGTATAAGTTGGCAGGACAAAGGTGCCCATTGTACTGCTGGTGTCTCAGGGGGTCCTTTTCTGTGTGTGCCTCCTCTCCTCTGCCCTTGAACCCTGCTTTCCCAAGGAGAGCCTCGCACTCACAAAGCCCGTAAGTTTTTAGGACTTCAGATCTGAGATACATCTCAGAGGTCATACGGTTCCACCCGTGTAGCTGAGGAAGCCAAAAGGGAAAGTCATCTGCCCACGATCACAGACAGATGTGAGAAAACTGGGACAGGAGTCCCACTCCTCATCACAGAGGCAGGTCACACTGATGTAGTACCCTATGTGCTGGACCCCATAATAAGCCTCCACAGACATCATCTTATGGTCCTCGCAGTCAAACAATGAGGTCCCCTTCATTTACCATTTTACTGATGAGGCAACTGAGGCTCAGAAGTTAAGTAGCTGTAGGGAGTGTAGGATTTAATACTGTGCAGTGGGACTCTTTAGCTGGTGCTCTTAGCTCCTACGTTATGCTGCCTCAAGGTCTCTTTTCCTTGAAAACCTGCATCATCCAGCCTCTTCCCATTCAGCACGAAAATGCACCATTTCCTTGGTGCTTTTTTCTCTGAGACTTGGTAAGAATCGTGTCCTCAAGACTGCGAATCTGCCAAACAACTGTGCCATCCTCCTTACCTATGATGTATCGAAAGTACTACCCTTACCTTAACAAGGTTAAAAATTGTACCTACTTCATAAGGTTGTTGTGAGGGTTAACTCTGTTTAATATAGGGTGCATCAGGGGCGCCTGGGTGGCTCAGTTGGTTAAGCGACTGCCTTCAGCTCAGGTCATGATCCTGGAGTCCCGGGATCGAGTCCCGCATCGGGCTCCCTGCTCGGCAGGGAGTCTGCTTCTCCCTCTGACCCTCCTCCCTCTCATGCTTTCTGTCTCTCATTCTCTCTCTCTCAAATAAATAAAAAAAATAAAAAATAAAAAAAAAATATAGGGTGCATCATAGGGGTGGTTATTAATTATCTTTGTGTGAGGGACAATGCTTGACTTAATCATAGTGCCCTATTGGCATTTTTTTTCAATGAACAAGCATATGAACTCACACATGAATAAAATGATATGTAAGACACAGTCAGCCCCTCTTCTTGAGGTGCCAGTACGCTAGTTGGGAAAGGGTCTAAAATAGAGTTGAAATAGTAGGTATCCCTGCGTGATTTATATTTTTCAGTGCTTTTATTGAGCTAAGACTGCTAAAAAGTGTTAATTCAGAAACCTGTCCTGTGAAAAAAGACATTGATGAGCAGGATTCACAGGGGAACACTGAATATGGGTGTTCAATGCCCACACTTTGCCAGGCCTGCCCACATGATGGGTGTTCATCTGAAGGCTAGTACATGGCAGAGCCGGGATACCACCCTGTATCTGTTGAGCTCAAAGTCCAGTGTTTTTCCGTAACTCCATTCCACCTCTGAGGCCTTCAAACTCTTATTTAGGATAGCCCTCCCCCAATCTCTTAGGAAGATGATAGAAGCGCATTTCAAAGGTAGGTGCTCCCCCAGCCCCAGGGTGAAGACCACTGCCCACTGCCAGCCTTTCCAAGCCTTTCAGAAGCACTTACCTGTGTGCTGACTCAGTCCTCTTCTCTCCACCCTGTTCCTTCCAGGAACATCATTGCCTTCGCATTAAAATCCTGGGGGACTGTTACTACTGTGTTTCAGGGCTTCCTGAGCCCCGCCAGGACCACGCCCACTGCTGCGTTGAAATGGGCCTCAGCATGATCAAAACTATCAGGTAATCTGGCATCTCTTCCATAATACCCAGGCCTTCGATGTGCATGAACACAAACCACCCCATCTGTCCTTTGTGGTAGATGATGTGTGTGTTGAAAGGTGACACGCTTTGACTTATGGCACAAAAACTTTATGCCCATTAACTCTCTCATATGAACCCATGAACCTGCCAGCTTCATTATGTTCCTGGTATACCTTCCTTCCAATAATTGTCCAGCATATTTGTATTACCAGTGTCCTTGTGGGGATACAGCTGTTTTCTAAAAAGTGAGCAAACCTTAGATCCTGGGGGAGTGGAGAGTGTGATTTGACACGTGGGGGGTCAGGATATGATACAGTGACAGCTGATGAAGCCTGGGGAGGAAAGGGTGGTGACAGATGGATTGCAGACTGGAAGCAGGCAGGGCTCACAGGGCCTTCTCAGCCTTGGTAAGGATTGTACTTTAGCCTAAGGCCAACAGGAAATCATTATAGGGCCACCACCAGGGTTGGCTTCATGAGTGTGTGACAAGTGCTTTTGGCTTTGGTCAGTGTATCTGACAAATAGAAGCTTAATCAAGAGGGCAACAGTTATTGAGGTCAAGGATTTTGGAATTAGACTGCTTGTGGCTTTGGGACAGAAGCTCAGTGGTGTCAGAGCTCCTCCTGAGGTTCCAGATAGGAAGCTCCAAATCGAGCCTCCAGGCATTGCAACCTTCGCCAGCCACAACAAAGACAGAAGAGAGGGTACATGGGTAGAAATCTTCTCTGTGGCTTATGCCTTCATCTTATAAGGGGAGAATAATCCTGCCATTAACAGGCCAGAAAAATCTTCCAGTGAACTCATGCCTTGGTTGTGTGGTCTAGTAGTTATGTTCATGATCCTTGGCTGTATCAGTCTGGTTTAAAGAGCAATAGGAGAGCAACTCATGTACCCCACACACATCCTCCACTGAAGGCTCAGATCACCTGCTGGCTTCCAAGACCAATCCTGGAGGGGGCAGGAGGGATGTAAGCAGTTGGAGCCATGACCAACACAGTGTGCCTGACTCCTTCTACGTGCTGACAGATCCCTGACTTCATTCAAGTTTGGGGCAGAGGTCTGTTGACTTCAGGAAAGGCTGTGTAGTCCCCTAATTCAGAAAAGGATGGAAGCTCTTTCCCTAAATATGATTTTGCTTCATCGATGTGACACTGGTGTTTTCAAGGCTTAGCCAAATATCACATTCCTGGTGGGCAGATATGCTACCCTGGCAGACCCTCAGGGCCCCACCTCTGGAATTAACCCATCACCAGGGCCCAGTCAAGGTGGCACTGTGCTTTGCTATGGGGTGTATGATGAAAACCCAACCATCACCATCCCTAAGAGCAAGTAGACTGGTGGAGAAAGAGATAAGACATGCCCCCTCTTTGACGGAAATGCAGAAGTTCTCACCTTTAGGAACTGTGGAGAGAGGAGCCCACAAAGTCCAAATCAGAGTTCCCTTTTGTTAAATGGAAAAGCTTGCAGATGCTTCTTAGTCGTTAATTTGGACACTTGTGAGTCTTGTTCTGAAAACTGGGGTGAATTGTAATATTTTAACTAGCTTCAAGGGAGGCAATGGGGCTGACACGCAGAAGACTTGCTGTCTTGTATGCATTCTACAACTAATTACGTGTGTGAACTTTATTCTACCAGCCAATTAGTAGGTAGATCAACCAAAAAAAAAAAAAAAAAAAAACCCCAAACAAAACCTGTGGAGCTCTACCAAGTGTCAGATGCCACCATGCTAGTCACCAGAAGTCCAGTGATGAACAGGTCACAGGGCGTCATTCTCTTGCCCATGGGTGTCCATTAGGGAGATGACTTGGATTTTCTGTTTGTGAAATGAGGAAATTGGGCCAGACCAGCTCTGAAGTCTTTGCCAGTTCTGAAAATCTGTGATTTTTGGTTAACCACATCAAAATCAAGTTTAAGTAGCAAAACTGGCCACAGGCTTTATTTTTATTTTTATTTTTTATGGTGGTATAATTGACCAAAAAAAATGGTATGTATTTAAAGTGCAGAGCATGATGATTTGATATATGGGTACATTGTGGAATAATTATATAGTCGTTAATTAACACATCCATTGCCTCACATAGCGATCTTTTTCTTTCTTTCTTTCTTTCTTTTTTTTTTGTGAGAACGTTTAAGTTCTACTCTTCTGGCAAATTTCAAGTACAGCATTATTAACTATAATTGCCATGCTGTACATCAGATCCTCAGAACTTACTCATAATGAAAAGTTTGTACCCTTTGACCAGTATCACCCCATTTCCCCCACCCTCCCTTAACGCTGGCAACCACCCTTCTACTTCATTTCTATGAATGTGACTTTTTTTGGTTTTGGTTTTGGGTTTTTTTAGATTTCACATATACAGTATTTTCTTTCTTTGTCTGCCTTTTGTCGTTTAGCATAATGCCCTCCAGGTTCATCCTTGTTGAGGCAAACGGTAGGATTTCCTTCTTTTTTAAAGCTAATTAATATTCCATCCTTATATGTGTGTATATACGGGGATTTTCTTCTTTATAAGAGCTGATTAATATTCCAGTATATATATGTGTGTGTGTGTGTGTGTGTCTATAGATACCACATCTTCTTTAACCATTCATGTACAAACTTGCCATAGGAGTTTGTATCTTGAGCTTAGAAGAAATGCTGCAGAGATGATATTGCAGAAAAAATGAACAGTGATTATCAAAATGCTTAAGATACTTAGGACGTTATCATTTATCTCTCTGGAAGTGACCTTATTCCTCCTGACTATTTTATCCAACTTAAGGGCTCCTCTCTCGAGTTCTGGAGTAGGTCAGTGAGAGGTGAGAAGTGGATAAGTTGAAATGACTCAAGGACTTTCTCTCACCCGTTGCTTAAGGGCTGCTTTCATTCTCTTAGAATAAGACAGTTCAGTAGGATATTTTTTTAACTGCATGAATCAGAGTCTATTAATACTCAAACACTCCTTGATTATAATGTAGGTGACAGGAGGTCCAGCATTAATTCTTCCAGTTAGCAAGAAAACATGAGGCAGAGGAATACATGAGAACTCTGGAATGAGGCAACTTCAGTTGCAATGGGCTCAGACTTCTAGAGCTCCCACCCTTACAGTCAAATATTGCAGTCTGAGGAAGGATTGGCAGACAATATCTCTACCTGAGTGCATATAGAAGAGAATCCCATTTACATAACTTTATCACAATCTTAACATCACTTTCACAAGATGCGATTTTCTTCTTCAGACCCAAAGGCACTTGTTCCAACCGGGAAACTTAAGAGAAGCCATAAAGGGCGCCTGGGTGGCTCAGTTGGTTAAGCGACTGCCTTCAGCTCAGGTCATGATCCTGGAGTCCCGGGATCGAGTCCCGCATTGGGCTCCCTGCTCGGCAGGGAGCCTCCTTCTCCCTCTGACCCTCACCCCTCTCATGTGCTCTCTCTCTCTCATTCTCTCTGTCTCAAATAAATAAATAAAATCTTTAAAAAAAGAGAGAAGCCATAAAGTCTGGAACCATATATAACATGACACTGTGTGTGTTGTCATATAATGAAAATAAGCCATTTATTTACTGGTGTGCCCAGACTTGATGGCTGCCCTGTGTATTTGTCATCAGAGATGGATCCCTATTTGAGGTATTGTCCCCACTTGGTCAGGGTCTCTCCTTGTTCTTTTTGGCATTTCCTCAAAGAGTTAGGGTCCCGTGCTGGTCCACAGAGTGCAGACTGGCAGTGAGGAGCTGGTGTTTTGTTGGTGAGATGGCATCTGGATCTTGGGTCTCTAGATCTCAGGAGCTCCAGTAGTTTCTTTGTTCAGTGAGATGTACAATTTTGGCACAAATGGCAAGCCAGCACTCAAAAGGGCCCTGTACCTTAGTCACAAATGAGTCTAAATATGGGCTGGAGGTCCTCCTACAATCGTAGACAGGTGAGGACAGGTGCCAAGCTGACCCCGAGGTCAGCTGCTGCTGCGTAGAGTGCCAGCAGGACACAAGAGAGCAAGAGTCGAGGCAGAAGAACAAGCAGGACAGAAGTAGTTTCCCCTGCATTTTGTCTTCAGATGTATCTCCACAGTAGTCGTTTTGACTGAGCAATAGAGGTGTTTTCCTGGAAACAGAGACAGGAAGAATATGCCATCCTAGCTGTTAAGAATGGCAGAAGCCGTGTGTGTGTGTGTGTGTAAATGCGTGGGCATGTGTGTATGTATGTAAATGTGGTGTTTATTTCTATCTGAGTGTATGTGGCATGTGTGTGCGCAGACGTGTGGTATGTGGGTGTGAGTGCATGAGTGTGTGCGTGTCTATACACATGCGTAGGCGTGTGTGTTTACACGTGTGCGTATTTGTGCAGGCGTGTGTGCATTGAGCATTTGAAGCAGGACTTTGTGATCACAATTCTAAATTCAGACAGTGAATTTAGAGTTCAGAGTTAGTGCACAGTTAGTTGATGACCTTGTGAGACAAATGTGGCTTTGTCCCTCGGGCAGTGGGTTGTCACCAACACTTAAAGTAGGGAGGCATCATTTCCCAGCTGGGGCGTGAAGAAGGTAATTGTGGACATAAGTAACTCTCTCTTCAGTTAACTCTAGAGAAGAGGAGGCAGATGCAGAAGGAAGGAAACTGGTTGGAAGATATTTTTGTAGCAATTCAGGGAAGAGATGTCAGGCCCTGAATAGAACACGAGCTATAGAGGAGAAAGGGGACGGTGATAATATTCCATCCAACCGGAGATCGTGAGAGCCTCTGTAAGAAACAATACATGATATGGACATTTAAATTAAACAAAACACTTGTCAGGATGGTGAGCTTATGTATCAGTTGACAATGCTCCAATAATTTTAGACAGGATTCCATTTTATTGAAGATAGAGTTCATTGCTAGATCTTGCTGACATGGATGTTCCCTGAATGGTGACTTCTGGGGAATGTTCTGAGGGTACGTATGGAGGGAGCCCCTGGCCTGCAATCAGCAGACCTTATCTGGTTTCTGCTTCTTCCTATCATTAGATA